CCTCATGCCAAAAGTTTTCAAATGGCAAAACATTGGTTATTGAATTCAAATACACAAAACCTGAAATTAAGACTCATTTCTAATAGATCAACAGATGGAAGAGTATATAATCAACCAATTGTTTCTGAGGTTGATGCTTTGATAGTTGGTGATCTTGATACAACAGAAATGAGGGATATCATCATGCAAACTAAAGGTGGAGAGTTACAAAGAATTAACGAGCTCCATGCAAGTTACTTGGCGTATCAATATCCTTTAATTTTCCCTTATGGAGAAGATGGTTATAGACCAAACATAGCTCATCGAGACTTAGACATATTCCAAGACAACAAGAGAAATAGACTTATAATTAGAGAGTGGCTAGCATTTTGCATTCAAAATAGATCATGTGAGGCTAAAACTTTTTTGGCTTCAAGAAGGCTTTTTCAACAATTCTTAGTTGATGGTTACACAATGTTAGAGTTCGAAAGACTTCAATGGATTAGTCAAAATCAACCTAAATTAAGGGTATCGAAATACAACAGTCTTACTGAAGTGGGTGACCAAAGTGAAACACATGGTTCTACAACAGGAAAAAGAGTGGTTTTGCCTTCTACTTATGTTGGTGGAAGGAGGTTTATGGATCAATTGTACTAGGATAGAATGGCTATTTGTAGCAAGGTAGGGTTTCCTAATTTATTTGTAACATTCAATTGCAATCCAAATTGGCCTGAAATACAAAGATTACTTACACCTCTTGGACTAAAACCCCAAGATCGTCCTGATGTAACTTCGAGGATCTTTAAAATCAAGTTTGATCAACTTCTATTAGATTTGACAAAAAGGGTAGTGCTTGGCAAGGTGCTTGCATGTATGTTTTCTTTTCTCACCGTAACTTTTCAATTTGTTAAACATTATTAGAATTTATGTTTGACTTACTTATTTTTTTTTGTAGATATGTACACCATTGAGTTTCAAAAGAGAGGGTTTCCACATGCACATATTTTGATATTCTTGCATCCTTCTAACAAATATCCAAGACCCGAAGATATTGATAGGATTATAAGTGCTGAAGTCCCTGATCCTACGAAGGAAACAAAGCTATACAACTTGGTTAACACTCATATGGTTCATGGACCTTGTGGATTGTAAAATCAAAGATCACCTTGCATGAAAGATGGGAAATGTTCAAAGTATTACCCAAAAAAGTTTCATTCGACAACCATAGTTGATCAAGATGGTTATCCACTTTATAGGAGAAAAGACAATGGACACACAATCGATAAAAATGGAATCATTCTTCACAGCGGACATGTAGTTCCTCACAACCCAAGTTTATTGTTGAAGTACGAGGCACACATCAACATGGAATGGTGCAACCAAAGTACTTCGATTAAATACTTATTCAAGTATATTAACAAGGGTTCAGATAGAATTTCTGTTGTTATTCATTCTTCTGGTGATATGTCTGTTGGTAAGAAGAATAATGTTGATGAGATCAAGCAATATCTTGATTGTAGATACATTTCCCCGAGTGAGGCATGTTGGAGGATTTTCTCTTATTCTATACATGGTAGGAAACCAACCGTGGAAAGACTATTTTTTCACATGGAAGGTGAAAATTCTGTTTACTTCAAAGACTTTGAGCAAATTGGTAATGTTCTACTGAAACCAAGTGTTACAGAATCTATGTTTACTGCATGGTTTGAAGCGGAAAAAAAAATATGATGAAGCTAAATTATTGACATATAGTGACTTTGTTTCAAAATTTGTTTACCAAAAGAAAACTAGGACTTTGAAGCCTAGAAAAAGAGGGTATATAATTGGTCGTCTCATTTGGGTTCCTCAAAGCACAGGTGAATTACTTTATTTACGTATGATGCTTATTATTAAGAAAGGACCAACGAGTTATGAAGACATCAAAATGGTCGATGGTTTACAACATAACTCTTTTAGAGAAGCATGTTTTGCAATGGAATTTCTACAAGATGATAGAGAATTTATTGAGGCTTTAAAGGAGGCGCATTAGTGGGGTTCTGGTTTATTTCTAAGAAATTTATTTGTTACTATGTTGCTATCATCATCAATGAATAGACCTGAGCATGTTTGGAGTCAAACATGGCACTACTTAGCTGATGGTATTCTTTACAATAAATGTGTCATAACAAGAAATCCAGGTACACCCGATATGCATTTCAATTTCTAACTTCTATTCACAACTTAATTGTTATATTGAAACTGTTTTGTTTCATCTATGTTAGGATTAACATTTACCGATGAAGAATTAAAACAACTTACTCTGATTGAAATAGAAACTCAGTTACAAAAGAACAATAGAAGTCTGAATGTTTTCAAGTCAATGCCATATCGAAATGACTTTGTACTTTCTTTTCTTGGAAACCGTCTGATTTATGAAGAAAGGCAATATGATTCAAATGCTCAAAAAATTATTTTTGATACTTTGTTCTCATCTCTTACAAGTAAAATTACATTCGTAAACTATATATTTTTCCAACTTATTTCATGTTTATAACTATTATATTGATAAATACAATACTTATTGTTTATAACTTATATTATTTATAGTTGATTCTCTCAATGCCATTTATTGTAGTCAATGCCTAATAATTCTTTAAATTCTCATTTTTAAACATATTGTCACATGATGTATTTTTACAGATGAGCAGAAACACATTTACTTTGATGTCATGGATGCCGTAGACAGACAAAATGGTGGTGTTTTTTTATATGGTTATGGTGGAACAGGTAAAACATTTATGTGGAACACTCTCGCTGCTGCTATTCGTTCTAAACATAAAATTGTATTGCCTGTGGCATTAAGTGGGATTGCAAGTCTGTTGTTACCAGGTGGAAGAATAACACATTCAAGGTTTAAGATACTTGTCCCTACTTTGTATTCTTCAGTTTGCAACATTGACAAAAATGATGATCTTGCTGAGCTTTTAAAGATAACAGATCTTATTATATGGGATGAGGCTCCGATGGCTAATAGATTTTGCTTTGAGGCTCTTGATAAATCCTTGAGAGACATTATGAGTGAATTTCCACAAGCTACAAATAAATTATTTGGAGGCAAAGTAGTTATTTTTGGTGGTGATTTTAGACAAATCCTTCCCATTCTTCCAAGAGGTAGTAGATCTGATATTATTCATTCAACTATCAATGCTTCTTATATTTGGGATCAGTGCAAAGTCCTCAAGCTTACAAAAAATATGCGCCTACAAAGTGGGACAACTTCACAACACATTGAAGAAGTTCGTATATTTTCTGTGTGGATTTTAGCTATTGGAGATGGTACCATGGGTGAGGCTAATGATGGTTATGTTGAAACTAATATTCCTGAAGAATTTTAAATTTTAAATTTTTCACATCCTATTAAGGCTATTGTTGATAGTACCTATCCCGATCTCATTCATAACTATCATGACCCCAATTTTTTACAAAGTCGTGCTATCTTGGCTTCAACAATTGAAGTTGTCGATGAGATTAATCAATATATCACAGATCTTCTTCCAGGTACTATACATGTCGTGAAGTTGTTTTCATGCTATTTTCATATATGACTTCATTTTTTAATTGTTTTATCATTTGTCTGTTTTTTTTTCCTTTTAGGAGAAGAAAAGGAATACTTTAGTAGTGATTCTATTGATAGATCAACATCAACCGACTTTGATGCATTTGAGCACTTAACTGCTGAATTTCTAAATGCTCTTAAAACTTATGGCACTACAACATTTTTACTCTATAGCAACGCCTAATTTTCAGGAAGCAAAAAAATTGTTCTCGTAGAGAGTAATAGGCAACTAACTATATAATTTGTTGCGATAGCATATTTAATTTTTTGTAAATTTTATACAACGGCGCGAAACCGTTCTGGTAGAGGACAATGAGAACGGCTCCTATTAGCAATGGCTAGAGCCGTTCTTATATAATTTTTAATTATTTTAATAAAATATTATTTACTAACACCGTTCTCATATGTGTATACTTTTCATTCTCCCTCCCAAACCTGAGTAAAATTTTCAGTTCCCTCCCAAATTGATTCTTAGTATGAGCTTCTCTCAAACGATTCATTGTCCCTCCCATATACGAGCTTCATCGTACGATTCATTGTCCCTCCCAAATACGAGCTTAATCGTGCGATTCTCTCAAATGTACGAGCGTCTACTTAACCCTAACATTCATCCCAAATTGATTTTTCATCGTACGAGCTTCTCCCAAACCTTAACATTTTGTTCTTCACCCCATATTGATTCTTCATGGTACAATTCTCTCAAACCCTAACATTCATCCCAAACTTGTGTGTGTGTAAATGTTCTCCTTCAACTTTCTCTATTTTCTGCCGACAAATCTAACGGTTTTGTTTTCATAGGTCTCAATTTTCAAACGTAATAGTGCGCGAGTTTTCAGCGGTGTGCGAGTTTTCGGTTCATCCTGGTAAAAAGGTAATATTTTATTCTAAACAGAACTCAAAATTGTTTCTTAGAAAGTTTTAAGCCTGGTGATTAGTATAATAGTCATACTAAAATATTTATGAAGTTTTTAAAAATTTTACTATCAAGTTTAAACATGATTCTGTGAACTTTAGGACTAAATGTATGTTTACAAGTTTAAACAGAACTCAAGAAGTGTTTTCAGGATCGACCGTTAAGAACAGTAAGATCGAAGCGATTGTGTATGCAACTGGTGTACACACGTTTCTCGGTAAAACGGCTCATTTGGTTGATAGTACTAACCAAGTCGGGCATTTTCAGCAAGTGCTTACCGCTATCGGAAATTTCTGCATTTGTTCAATTGCTGTTGGAATAATCGTTGAACTCATTGTGATGTATCTGATTCAACATCGCAAGTATAGAGACGGAATTGATAATATTTTGGTGCTTTTGATCGGAGGAATCCCGATTGCAATGCCAACTGTTTTGTCTGTTACTATGGCTATTAGTTCTCATAAGCTTTCACAGCAAGGTGCAATTACAAAGAGAATGACTGCTAATGAAAAAATGGCAGGAACGGATGTTCTTTGCAGTGATAAAACTAGAACTCTCACTTTGAATAAACTTAGTGTTGATAGAAACTTGATTAAAGTGTTTTCTAGGGGAATGGATAAGGATATGGTGATACTCTTAGCAGCAAGAGCTTCTAGGATAGAAAATCAGGATGTTATAGATGCTGCTATTGTTCGAATGTTGTCTGATCCACAAGAGGTAAATATCTAAAATCAAAATCTAAATAAATCCCTTTTTTAGAGTAAATCAGCATTTTAGTCATAGAAATTGTAATGGTTGTGATTGATTGTTCAGTTCAGGCTAGAGCAAGTATCAATGAGGTCCATTTTCTGCCATTCAATCCCGCTGATAAGAGGACTGCCCTTATCTATGTTGATACCGAAGGAAATTGGCATAGAGCAAGCAAGGGGGCTCCTGAGCAGGTAAATACGAGTGCCGTTTTATGATGTTTCATTTTATTTTTGTAAGTAAGAATTGAATTCGGCATCTTAGGATTTACAACATTCATGAAACCTGATCATCATCAACCTGCACTAGGCCTTAGTGGTATCTTTGTTATGATTTATAAGATGAAGACTAACCAAGTCATGTTTTTATATTGTGTTAGATATTGGATCTTTGCAACTGTAAAGAAAACGTGAGTCGAAGCGTTCATGCAATGATAGACAAGTTTGTCGAGCGTGGACTTTGATCATTAGGTGTTGCTTATCACGTAAGTAAAGACAGCATCATTATCATTTATGTTTATTTTTCTACTTGAATTAATTCTCTTGTTTTATAATTGTTTGTATCATATGATTTGTGCAACAGGAAGTACCTGAAAAAACAAAAGAGAGTCCTGGTGTACCATGGCAATTTGTTGCACCCCAAAATTTGCCCAACTTTTCTTTACCTAGCTTATGTTTCATTTCATTCACATTAGCATTATCATTTGCATTTCATTGACATCTGTGCAGGATATCAAGAGGTATGATTACCAATTAAGAGCTATACAAGACTATGAAGCTAGCTAATAAGGTTATTCAAGTTTTCAAGGGTTGATATCCTTGTCAGAGAAGTTAAAAGATCCTCAGAGAGAGTGATTGAAGCCAAGTGTGTAGGTCTCCTAACTTGAGAGTTGTGGAAAGTCATCAGATGATTCTTAGGCCATGAAGTTGGACTTGAGGTCTTGAGAGAGCTCAAGAGAAGTGTTGAAGATCACTTTGAGGCCTAGACAAGTCATTGTGCAAGATTAAGAAGGCTCGACCATGAGTGGTGCAACTTGGATTTGACTGGGTCAACCCTAAGTCAACTGATGATTTGAAGAAGGTTGAGACCTAATCCAAGAGCCATGTGATCATGGATGGATGCATAAAAATGTTATAAGGATGATTCCAAGGTTAAATCATCATGATTGAAGAGTTTGAAAAGTTTCAGGCTAGGGTTTCTAAGACTTGACAGTATAAAATCCCCTAGCTTGACCCCTGACTTCCAGGCCATTTAACTCAAGATATGATTGTCATCTCATATTGACCCTAACATGATTGTTGTAGAGCATGATCTTAGCTTTAATTTGAGTACTAGAAGTCCTTAATAGGGTTTATAGAACTCAAGTTATGAGCCAGACAAGTTACAAGTCATCTGAGGTATGTGAATTTAGAGCTTGAAAGTTACCCAACTTGCATGATACTTTTGCCTAAGCAGGATGATTCCTATGAACTTTTGGTCAACATGAATGTTGTTCCTTATTCTCGTAGATTTCTAGATAGTACTAGAAGTCCTTGATAGGATTTGTAGAACTCAAGTTATGGCGTTGACAAGTCAAGGGTATTTTGGGAAGTTGTGATTATGGGTCATTTTTGGTTATAGGTCATTTTCACCAACTTAGACACCTCAAATGAAATTTTTTTCAACTTGAAAGTTGTTCAAAATGGGGTTTTAACCTTGACCATGTATCAAGGAGGCATTGAAATGGCTCAAGGAGAGACTTGGTTCAAGAAGTTGTGAAAGAGGAAGGATTAAAATGGATTAAATGACCAAAAAATCAAATAAATCATTTTGTGTGCAAATGGAGCAAAGTAATATCATTTTTTGAATGGAAAAGGCATTTTGGAAACTTTGGCAATATTATAATTTTGATTTGAGTCCAATATCATGCCCTTTTTCTTTGTTTCTTCATGATGAAGCAACATGACATACATAAGCCATTGGATTGAAACAAGGGGAGAATCACCACCATTCATGTTCAAAATCTCATGAGAAGTTGAATGCAAGCTTGCTAAGACCAAAACACAGTGGGAATCGTGACTGGTGTAAGTGAGATTTTGGAGAGAATTTGAAAATCCAATTTCTCATTCTGAAGCTTTGAGAGAGTTCTAGATGAATCTAATGAGTTCTATATAAGTTGGTAAGTGTGTTCAGCCATTTTTTTGGAAGGATTTGAAGCTGGTAGCAGAGAGAGCCATTGAAAATTTAGAGCTGCAAGTTGAAATCGAATTCTGAGTTTCAGGCCAAATCAAGAGGAATTGAAGGTTGCATTAGCTTCAGAAGGAGTTTTGGACTGTATCTGCATCATCTTGGTGGTTGAAGTGATCAAGAACCCCTTCTGTTACACCTCTGAACACAGGTTGGTACATTTCATTTGTGTGCATAATCTAGGAGGAGATAGATAGAAATCTATAGGTGGTTAGGATCTTGATGATGTATAGATGGATTTGAGATGATTAATTTGGGAATTAGAGACAAGTTAGGATGTGGATCATTTTCTGTTGAAGCTGAATTCTTGCTATTCTTGGATTGATAATCAAGATTCTATAGTGTAAATTGATCAGCATGAGATGAGGAATATTTCTGTGCATTTAATTGAAGTTCTGAGGAGATTCAAGATTGAGGTGTATTTTGGAATAGCTATCGGGTTCGAAAATCCATGGAGATTTAGATGATTCTAAGGATGGATTCATGATCAGCATAAAAAACAGGACAAGATGATGTATCGTTTTGCTATTTTTAATGTCCTGTATATTTGTCTTCACCGGAGAAGACGGTGGCGCCACTGCTCAGGCCACCGTCTGTAAATTCCCTCCATCTGAAAATTTGAATGAAGAAGATGAGCTGTGAGCGTTGGATCATCACTGAAGCTTGACCAAGTCCATGGAATAGATGGCCACGATTGCTTTGAAAAGTCAGACTTGGACCCTTTGGCTGATACGCACCGTTTCATTTAATTGAAACACCTGGGCTTAGTAATTGGATTGATATCCACACCCCCCATCTAGCCCATTCCACATATTGAATTGATATTAATTGCTATTTGACACGCAACTTTTATTATTTCTTTGGTTTTTCTTTTAATTTCTTTATTTCATATTAGTTTGAAAATAATTCATGAAAAATAGGAAAATAGGTCCATTAATTCCAAGTTTTTTTCCCCTGATTCATGAGTGAATCTAGAATTTTACTGAATAAAAATATTAGGAAAACCATGCATTTTCATTTTATGTGCATTTTTTTACATTTTATTTGATAATAAAATTACCATGGTTGATACCTCTGTTTGGTGAATTTAGTGTGAGCATTTGGTGATGATTTTTGGATTGATTTTTTTTTTGTGGCAGCTTAGACATGTATGCTCCCCTAGTATTTTTCTCACATTTTTGTGATGAAATTAGGTGGTGTTTTTAGGTTGAAACTTTAGGTGCTCCCTTTAGGTACTTCTGTAGGATTTTATAATTGATTTTAGTATTTTAGTTAGAATTAACTTCAATACTAGGTTTTAGGTGATCCTAACTTGCTAACTCAACTAGAATGATTTCATTAGTTCCCTTAGAATAGGATTTTGCTTCTCTTGCTCTTGGATGATGATGAAGACTTGTGTGGGCTGCTGTGGAAGGCATGGTGGAGCTTGGACTTGAAGATTGCTCCCCTTTTGGTGTAGTTTGTTTAGGGTTAAGGATTAGGGTTTAGGGAGATCCCTTTAGAATAGACTTTCTTCCTTCATGAAACATGGAAGGTGTTGATCACTTCCATTCCCCCCTATGATGTAAGGTCCCATTGTGAAGGCCCCATCCCTCCTTTGGTAGGATGTGTGGCTCCTCACAAGTTGGTAGAACCTTCGAGGGTTCCTTTCCTTGATGGTGGAGTGCTTAGAGGTGACCTTTGGTCTTCACTTTGCTTCTCCCTATCCCCACCTTACTCTTGTTAGATGAATCTCTCTCCCTTGTTAGAGGATGGAGTTCCCTGCTAGAAGTTTGAAGATGCTAGAGGATGGAGTTCCTTGTTAGGAGCTTGAAGATCAAGAAGAACAAGTTGACACTTGTGTGAAGCAGATCAATTTGAGAATGAAGAAAGAGCTGAAGCTTGAAGAAGATGAAGAACAAGTTGATACTTGTGTCTGATGCATTGAAAGCTTGAAGAAGAAAGTTGACACTTGCTATTAAAGAGGAAAAACCTTGAAGAATAGTTACAAACTGAGGACTGAGCTGCTGTCAGAGGATTGCTTTGATGTGAAGCTGTGGAAGTTGTTGATCTGCTTTCTTTCCTGTCTGTTTGCTTTCTGTGTAACTGTATTGCTGTGACTTGTTTGATTTTCTTGATGCATTAGAATAAGTTCATGTTTAGATTGTGCTAAGCTAGGAGCATGATTGCACCAGAGGTTGAGTTGCTCCCTCTGCTTATATTTTTACTGTATGGCTTTGCTTGTGGGTATTTAGTAGAGCCCTGCTCCCTTGCCTATGTGGTTTGTGATTTTCTTGATGCCATTTTATTTCCTGTTATGATTGCAATTATTCATATCTTGCTTGAGGTTGAGACGAGCTTGTGGAGGTTGATGCCTCACACACACTTCCTCCCTCACTTGCATTGTATGCATTTTACTGCTGATTCTGTATATCTGTTTACTGTTAAGCTGATGCTTTATCTGTTTCTAGGTTATCATTGACATGATCCCTTATGAATCTTACTTCCTTTGATAAGGAAGTGATGATTAGAACTTTAGGTTGAAACCTTTGCATGATAACTTCTAGGAGATCCCTGTTTCAAACTTCAACTATAGGATGAATCCTTGGCATGACAACAGTCAGGACTTGATAGTCTCCCCTTAGTAGAGCTCTTTCTTCTCTTATCATCTCAAAACAACAGTAAAAAACTTAATAAAGGCAAGTTAGTATAAGCGCGATACGAGCCTTAAGCTACTTGGGTAATGTTAATTGAGCGGCCTCCTCTCAATCATCTAGAATGTTTAGTATACGTCCTTTTGACGATATACGACACATTCGTTCCCAGGTCATAGTCTCTAGTGCTGTACAAACTACAGACAAACAAAAAACAGTTCTTCCGTAAAAGACAGAAAACAAACTTCAAACCTTTTTGCCCAGTGGGCCCATAATTCAAAGGAAGCTTTTCTGAAGAAAAGAGTGTCGTTAACTCCTAGTTCTACCGCAAACGGCAACGCCAAAGTCTCCAAGGGTCGAGCTGCGTACACCAAAACTGCTAGAACTGTTTGTTAACCCTACTCCGAAAAACAGATGAATCTGAATCCCCGTAATCCATATTATCCCGAACTACGTAAGCTCTGATCTCTCATATCTGTTGAGAGTACGTAGGCACAATACTGATGTATTGGCGAGCCACCTTCCCCGTAACCCGTAGTTAGCCGAACTACGTTGACTCTGATTTCTCATTTTCTGATGAGAATACGTAGCCATAAAGTGCGAC